TGGGTTACTCATATAAGAAAATCCATGCTACGTGTAAGCTTGTGCGTCTGATTTATTTCATTCAACGTTATGGTCTCGAGGTGCATCCATTCTCCTACAAATGACTCAAGCTTATCCTTCTTTGTAGCAGAGTAGTACCCCATTGTGCATAAATACATTTTCTTTGCCCATTCATTATTAATGGGTATACAGGCTGCTTCTGAGAGTGGCTGTTATGAGTTATATGGCTATAAACACGGCATGCTTGTGTCACTGTAATATGATGTCAGCACTTTCAGGGAGATACCTAGAAGGGGAATAGCTTGGTCAACTTTTTATCTTTAGGTTTTTGAGGACCTGCTAAGTATTTTTAAAGAAGCTGAATTAGTTGCCCGAATTTATAACTCAGGATATTTCACATAAAAACCCCATGTAGCAGCTTCCCTGGAAAACCCAGAAGATACACGACACCGTGGAGCAGTGAGCAGGGGCGCCCCGCCCCTCTGCACCGTGCTGCACCGAGCTCCTGCCCTTCCTTTCATCCCTTGCTGGTGTTTGCCCTTGGTACAGCATAAGAGGGAGCTGTGTGGTTAGGACAGCAGTGTTGGGGCGGCAGCTTACTGTACAGAGCGCAGCATGGTGGACAGAAAAGGCTTTAGAGCCAGGTAGGCCTGCATTCCTAAGGCAGCCCTCCCTCCTGCCAGCTCTTTGCACTGGACAAGTGCTTTTTCTCCACTCCCTCTGCTCGTGATGAAGTGGGTGGTACCTTCTCCTGGCCCGTAGGGCTTGTAGTGAAGATTTACAAAAATCAATCAGTCTGTTTCTCTTAGCATGCGTGGTCCACCGTGGTTGATCCTATCTAAAACGCCTAACTGGAGGCCTGGGATTGAGTACCTGGAAACAAAGGGGTTGGGGTTAAACTAGTGGTGAAATACTTCCCTAAGCTTGCATGAAGCCCTGGGTTGGTCCCCAGCACCACCAGAAAAAAAAGTGAAAGAAAAAAGTAGAAAACCGAAGAACTCAAAACCAAAAATTCCAGGTAGACTAAAGAGTTAAATCTAAAATATGTAATTTTATGTTTTTTTAACTAAAAGGAAATGCAGTTGTATATTTAACTTTTTCTCAGGATGCGAAAAGACTTTCTAAGCATAAAAACCGTGAAGGAGAGCCAAAGAAAGGTCAGTGGAGTTGGCTCTAGAAATGTCTGAACTCTTCTATGTTAAATAACATAAACAGTTAAAAGGTGAGTAGCAAGTAAGAAAAGTATTTTTGAAACTTAGGACAAAAGGCAAACCTCTTACTGCCTGTGGCTGTAGATCCATAAGGAAAACGTTAGCATCCCCATAGAACAGTGGACATGAACAGTTCACAGCAGAAGAGTTCCTGACAGCAAAAACATGTCAAAGAATGCTGATTCCAGTGAGCTGTCGTTTTCCCCATTGTCACGTTTTCCTGATGGAATTGGAAGTTGCTACAGTCTTCTCAAAACAGCAGTTTAGCAGTATAAATTAAGTGCCTCAAAGTGCACAGCCTTGGAGCCAGTAATTCCACTTTTAAGAACATATCCTAGGTATATATGTAGAGATATTTTTACTTTAAATGTAGTTGCAGTAATCTTATTTTCTTTCTCCTTTAAAAAAATAGTACTGGTATATTAAAATCTCAGTCTCCATTGTGTTCTGCACTGCTGTATACTTAACATTAGCACAGCCCTTGATGTACATAAGTGGTCAAAAGTATTTGAGTTTAAAGAAAGGATGTATTCATACAAAGGAATATATAACATTTAAAGATGTAGAAAAATGCTCACATATGTTAAAATGTAGAGCACACAATCGTACCTATGAAATATTCTGTGTGTTGTGTGAGCTCTGAGTACTCTGTGTGTGATAGACCCTCACAAGACCACACAGCACTTCCCTTATGGTGTTTCTGAGAGTACTAAGACAGACACTGAACAAGTGATTAAAATCGTCTTTCACACCAATTTGTGTTACATCTATATGCCATCAAGGAAAAAAAAAAACTGTAATAGTGATTGATTGATTGATTGATTGATTGATTTTTTGGTCCTGGGGATCAAACTAGGGACCTTGTACAGGCAGGTGGCAGAACCACTGAGCTAAATCCCTGGCCCTTTGTAATCATGATTTTAAAGCAATGGTGATTTCAACTTCTAAGACACTTGTCATAGGGCAAGAAAGGAGTGATTACATGAGAAATCTGAATTTCATACAATGAATTGTCTTACAATGAGGAAAATTCTTAGGAAGCTTTCTTAGGAAAATTTATTTCTAATAAAAGGGAAAATTCCTCCATTGGAAGGTTAGTAATATAACATAAATAGGCCCGGATTTTTCCCCGCTAGGTCACATTTCTCTAAAGGAGACTGAATGGGGTAACCTCTTGTAGAGGTAGAGGCAGAAGCTGTGAGAAGCCCCCGCTTTCCGTGGAGAAGCACAATGAAGCGTTAAGATCAATGGGCCGGGTTGGGAAGGGAGTAGACGTGTTGGTCAGCATTAAGATACCTTTTGCTTTTTTGATCTTCTGGTAAGGCTTCAAGTGTGTGGAAAACCAAGAATGTCAACAGGAAAGCCCACCCTGCAGACTGATTGTGACCCTACAAGCTGCTCTTAACCAGTATCAGGGATGGAAAATTTTTCCCTGCAGCAGTGGTTTCTGGGAGTGTGTTTTGTTTGGAAGGAAGTCTGAAGTGAAGGAGAAGAGCTGCAGAGATGTGTTTTGGTGACCTGACCATGCTTAGTGACCGTGGATGCGCTGCCACTGCTGCTTATCCTGCTGTCAGCCAGGGCTTTCCGCAGGGCCCTCGGCCTTCCTTATGCGCCCTAGGTAGGAAAGGGCTCCATGCATCCTGGCCAAGTTAAAGGGTGGCACTATGCTCTGTTGCATTCCTGGCCTCAAAAAGGAAGGTCACTTTTGTGAGCTCTGTTGCCCTGATAGGTTCCCTTGACCTCTTTCCTGTCCATCTCCTTCAAATTAGTATTGTGCTTTTTAAGCCACAGGCGTGGGAAGGAATAAATAACAAACTGCAGAGTGATGCCTTCACCTCAAAGCCGGCACGCTGCGTATTGCCATCTCCTTTGTGGCCTCATGCAAGCGTCTCCCTCCCTCGGGAAGACTCCCCTTTGATTTTTAGGTGTGACTGGTGCTTATGTTGGAGGTAACATGTTCAAACCCACTGGAAGCTTTTTCTCATTTGAAAAATCCGAATCTTAGAATTAAGTGGAGTGTGAATCTGTTAAACTTCGTTTTTTTTTTTCCATTGGTACTATTTCCCTCTTGCATTTGGAATTCTCTCTCACTTTTGAGGTACATCCCTGCTTCATGTTTCCAGGTGGAATTACAGTGCTCATTTCCCCATTGCGCCTCCTCCCCCAGTGATGTTTTTGGTGTTCTAAGAGATCTTCACCTCAGAATTGTTCTCAACTTGTGGTTAGATGTCTTTCCTCTGTGTTTTACTTTATTCTCCTAAGTGTCAGTACTTAATGTATACGTTCAGACTATCTTACCCTCCCTGATTATGTGGAGGGTAGCAGAAATTCTGCTTCTAGCTGAGATCCTTGCTTTGGTAACTGCCTGTACAGCCCAAATTAAGGAGCCTTGGACCTTTAATCTTGTGGGTACTGCACTCCTTTCTGTTACCTTCTCTCCAGGAGAACGGTCATCTCCTCAGTCTGCTCTGCTTTTCTCAGAGAGCCATCTGAGATGGAGCTGGGTGTCCAGAGCTAGGCAGGGTCACCTTCCTACTGCTCATGGTTGGCTCAGCAGTCAGGTGAACATGATAGCACTTCCTTACTCCTGAAGAGAAAAAGTGATGCACACTTCAAATCCGTCACTAAAACCACAAGTTAATTTCAAACATCACATATCTTCTGCCTGTAAAAATTATGACTATCCCTGAAAAAGTCATTGCCAAGGGTTGGGCCTTAGAATTTAGACTGTTTATGCGAGTTCCTTATTGTTTTGATTTTGATTTTCCTGTGGGAAATAATTGTAAACAGTCAGGTTCTTAGAATCACCCATACAGTAAGAAATATAAACACAGTATTGCACTGAAATCCATCCTGCGGTGACCCCATGTAACCCCTGCCTTCGTGTTGAAGCGCGTGCATGGTGAGGCCAAAGCTCGGGGAGCTCAGCTCCACCGCAGTCTCAGCGTTTGATGTGTCTTCACTGCTGTGAGCAAGGCAGTTCTCCTTTACTGTCTCCTCCGTCAGCCGTGAGGCAGGAGTCACACCCTCTGTTGATTGCTTTACAGGCTGACTGCAGTGGACATAAGTTGATTTTGAGCTCTCTGGCAGAAAGGGACAGCGTAAATATAAAGTATGTGTGCTCTGATCGTTCAGGAGCTGTGCTCCACTCTGCAAGCCCACACAGCCAGGCTTCGTTTGGCAGCCCTGTTCTGGTCAGGCCAGAGTGCTCCTTGAGAAGGCCTTGCTGTTTTGTGTTCTGGAAACAGACAGGAATGCATCTCCAGAGTAGCCCCGGGAAGAGCTGCGACTGTTTGGACCTAGGTGCCAGGGAGTGAATTAACACACATCGTGGAAGGTTGAAGCAGCGCTCAGCCCAAGTCTTGGCTAACAGGCCATTTGCCCCACGCAGTGTTGCAGTGTAGAGTACACGTAAGACAGAGGGAAGAATCCTCGTGATTTTCCGTCCCTCCCTGGGCCGGAGCAGGCTTCTGCACAGTTTGAACGGCGATGATGGTGACAGCTAGCTCCTCCGACAGTATTCACCGTGCCCCCGACTCCGTAAGATATCAGTGGAGGCTCACAGCAGCCCCGCGTGCCAGGTGTTAGCATCATCCCTGTTACCAACGAGCAAATCAAGGCACAGAAGCGAAATCACTTACTGAAGGCCAAACAGCTGCCAAGTGACTGAGCAGTGTGGGAGCCCCAGTCTGGCCGAGGACAGCAGCTTCCATTTCTCTGACTGTTGTCAGTCTCTGTCACCTTTGCTCACACAGCAGAAAATTCAGGGCACTGCGTGCTGTTTTCCAGGAAGAGAACGGAGACTACACCTATGTGGAAAGAGTGAAGATACCTTTGGATCACGGGGCCCTGTTGATCATGGAAGGAGCGACGCAAGCTGACTGGCAGGTGAGGTCGCGTAGGAATGGCAGAGGGAGAGTCATTTCCCCGTAAATGGGGTCAGAAGCAGGCCGCTGTGAGAAGGGGCCAGAGCCAATCAGTGGACATCGTTTCCGAGGTGGGTGTTTGGGCACTGCCGAGCGCCCAGGCAGCCCCGCGGTTCCCAGCGAGCTTTCTGTGCTAGTGGACGTGTTCTGTATCTCTGCTGCCCACTGGCGTAGCCACTAGTGCAATGCGACTGTTGACCACTTGAAGTGTGACAAGTGTGCTCAAGAACCGCATCCTGAATGCCACCTATTTGAATTTGCAGTAAGCACAGGCTCTCACGGTGGGCTGCACAGCTCCACTGCTAGGCCGGGCCATTTTTAGGCCAATTCATTTTTAAGTTACGTGTGTTATTGTACAAATGCCTAGCAAGAGAATGGAATCTCATGACTCTCTTTGACCTTCTCCATTTATATATTTTGTTTTGTTTTTATGAGATTTGGAAAAAATGACAGGAATCTGAGAAGAGGAGCAGCATCTAGAAAAGCTGAAAATGTCTCACTGTAAAGCTGCTAGCATAGCCCAGTGGGGTTGGCTGGAGACTGGAAGGAAGGGTAACATTTTTCACAAAACTTTAAAGGCTTGGACAGGGTAAAACAGAAATATTTCTGTGTCCTCATAAATAAGTTGCAATTTAAAATGTATGTGTTATTTATACCCAGGAGTTATTTATATTTCCATGTAGCATCGAGTGCCCAAAGAATACCACTCCAGAGAACCGAGAGTAAACCTGACCTTTCGTACTGTGTATCCAGACCCCGGTGGGGCGCCCCGGTGACCACGCTTTGTGGAGAAGCCTTTGGGTGCTGTGACTGAGCCTGCACGGCCCTCTGGCAGAAGACACTGCAGGAGGCTGCTCCAGCTTCCCCGGGATGCAGCTGTTTGGAAGATGGGGGCATTTGGTTCCCGGCTCACTGTCCCATTAAACGAGAGCCCCTAGCAATTCAATTGTAATTTGTCCACCGCAGGAACAGTTATTCTGAAGCACATCTCAAAACCACGCATTATCTTTAGGCAAGTTAAAAACTACTGTGGCTGTGCTTGCAGATGATTTGGGCCATAATCTGTTTTTCTCCTGCCCTCCCCCTGCAGTCTGAAGAAATGTGAATGGCCTCGTGTATCTGGGGAAAATCTGCACGTGTTTGTCCATTATGACGTCCGTGGAGCAGAGATATAAATACATGTCAGCAGCTCTGGAGCCTTCTGGGGGCAGACAGCTGCAGAAACCCAAACAGAGGTGGCTTCGGGAGCCTTGCTGAAGTCTGTCTTGGCTCTGTCACATCCCAACCTGTGTGTTATTGTAGTGGAAAGCTGTACATGCAGGGCACGCTCTGGGGAATACTCCTCTAGATGAAGGGTGGGGGGGTGCTCTCCCCTCAGGCAGTCGCCCGACACCTACGGTACCAGAAAATACGGCCCTTTGGGTAAGGAAGAAGAGCTGAGGATTCGTGAGAAGCAGGCTGAAATGTTGGCAGAAGAGCAGCAAATGCCCTGTTAGTGACAGCTGTTCCACATAGATTAGGTTCCCCTGGAGAATCACTTGAGTCATTTAAAGCCAGCCGGATAGAAGCGAGAGCAGACCTACAGGGAATAGGCCAAGTGAGCTCATGCTCCTCCCCACCCGACTCAAGCAGCCCCGTGACTAAGGCTGGCTGTGACTCCGTGTTCCCTTGTGCACCGTTTCTGAGGTTCAGAGGTTAGTCTGTGATGTCACCGAGGTTCCCAAAACCGAACAGAGTGGCTGCCCTTCTTGCATCCTAAAAGCACGTGTTCCCGTGCCCTCTGGACTCAGGAGCAGTGTGCCAGGTGAACGCCAGATGAGGTAGGGAGACCCAAGAGGGAGACAGTGCACTTAACTGGATGAAAGTAGGGCAGAGGAGTCAGAGGTTCTCTGCCTGTGGGGAAGATTTGCAGCACCCTCTTGCTTTTTATCTTGTTTCCTTCCAACTGTAAGGTCAGTGATCCCCATGATCGTGGTGAAGTGCCAGCAGCAGGGCAAACTTACTCAGAGCTGGAGCTGGCCTGTAGCACCATGCTTGGCCGGGTTGTGTGTCTGTCTCTGTCTCTCAACGTGTATAGCTTCTGTCTGTGAGACACACTAAATGCTTTTTTTATACCTTGAGCATCATACCGAAACTTCCAAAGAAGAATGTGTAAATCCCACAAAATCAACTCTGTGAAGTCCTAGCTGTTCTCCTATTAAAGCAAATAAAGCCTGGCCAGGGTGGTACAGCCAGCTCTGGTTTGGGGCGTGTTGCATGACACTGGGAAATTCCCCTTCCATTCTTTACTAACTGAACTGCCAGATGGCTCCACGTCTTCCAGCACCCGCCCCCCCAGTGTAGGGTCACTGCCGCCCAGCATTTGATCTCTTCACTTGTCACATGCCTCTGTCTGTCGGGGAAACAAATTCCTCCTCTCCAGCAGACAGATCAGGCCACCACCACCTGGGTTTCCTGGTCAGAGCGTCAAATCTGAGCCTTTGTGTCTCAGTGTCACTGTAGCCTGCCATTTATTTCCACCACTGAGATAATGTCCCTTCTGAAACAGTGTCAAGTAGGTAGTTGCCACAGAATAAAACTGCAGAGTTTAGGAATTGGCAGGAAGGACAGCCACGCTCAGCAGATCACCCTTGCCTGTCGCCATGTTTACTGGAAATCCGTGCCACCTTGGAATTGGGGTGAAGCTGGTTTTGCTGATGTTACAGGTAAAGCAAAGAAAGGCAGTGTCTGTAGCCTGAAGAAAAACAGATTCAGGGTTTTCAGCTGCTATTTTTGTCTTTTCTTTTTCTTCTTAAGCACTGTCCTGGGAGCTTGTGTACATGATCCCTAATCCTCTCCACAGTGGGACAAGAAAGAAGAGATCTTGTTCTCATTGTAGAGATGACGAGAAAAGCCTCATCTTAAACAGTTCAGCATGTACACTTGTAGTGGCAGGGCCAGAATTGAGACAACAGGTGAATCCCCAAACGTGTGCTTTCTCAGGTCTGGCTCCGGCAGACGTGGCCACCGCCAACCCCATGCCGCCCGTGTGTTTCCTGCTTTCTTGTGTATCGGGATCTCATCCCTGCTTACTCAACATTAGCATCTTCTGGTCAAAAACTGTTGCCAGCTGGGTTAGCAATTGGTCATTTAATTGGGGAAACTCATTTTGGTGAAATACGGTGCATTTAGAAAAAGCTTCAGCCAACTTTCCTGGCAAGTGTTTCCTACCACATACCTGGAAACCTTCACAGGCAAGGGTTTCTCTGTGGTCCCTTCATCCCTCATCGTGTCTGAATGATGGCCAGACTCGGTATGAGGCTCGTTCCTGTATTTGCCAAACCCACTGCTCCAGCCCAGAGAAGCAGGTCAGGCTGCAGCTCGAGATGCCTCCGCAGCAGGCAGCTTGATTCAACGTGGTCAGGACAGCATGACAGCACCAGGTTGTACCCCTAAACTGCAATCGGGTCCCACTTTGATCCACAAAGACTAAACCGGTAGCACTGCCGGGGACTTACCAGACGTTGGGGGTCACAGCTAATGGACCTTGGGGCACCCATCTCACTTCTGCTGCCTGTGCTGCCATGGCCCTGCCTGGACCCAGGCCCTGCCGAAGCCACCTTGAAGGAGTTAAGGTGGCCCCACAGTGAGTGGGGTGCTCCCGTTGGGGGGGTTGCAGGGAAAGTCCTGACAAGTGATGTGTTCCTGCTCTGCTGGGAATATTTCTTCCTTGGGTTCTGGCAGCTTTTCTCTTGGCTGCAGAATATCTAAGACCCGCTTTGCCTTTTCTGGTCATAAACACTTGTCGTGTTGAATCTGAAGTCTTGATTATTTTATTTTTCTTAACGGCATCTTTGAAAAAGCAGAACGTTTCCATAGTGATGCAATCTGTTTGTTTAAATCTTTTCTTATACATGATTTCCACCTACATGTTCCCTTCCCAGGGACTGGTTTACAACTGCCCTTTCCCCTGCCTCCTGTTGTCTCTGGGAAGAGACCCCCTTATGAGACCCCTGTCAGATGTGTGCTGCTAGAATCCGTGCTTGGACGCGATTCCTGGCTGGGGTCAGTAGGGAAGTGGCCTCAATGTATGTTTATTAGAGTGGAACGCTAGCGGCGCTTTTCCCAGCTGGTTTAGTAGTCACACGCCTCATGTTATAAAAGCCTTCCCCAGCCTGTGACCAGAGCCCTGTGTTGAGCTGGGTATTTGTTAAGTGTTAAAGCTGGGGGCAGACGGTGTCAGAACAGTGTGTGTTGGGGGTGCATCTTGGTGGGGAGGACTTCTCTGCTGTCACTGCCCGTCATGGGACCTGCGATGTCACACTCCCTCAGCGCTGGATGTGTCTGTCAGGCAGGACTCTGGACTGACACCCTCATGTCCAAGAGGGAATAGAGGGTGCTGGAGAGGAAGCTGGAAAGTGTGGTTTGGGCGCCTTGCCTCACAACCTGAGTCACTTATAAAAGCCATCCCATGGATTATTTTTCTAAATGCATGAGGAAACAGAGGCACCTAGAGAATTTCTGGGATCCTGGGATCCACTGACAGTACCCCTGGGTTTCAGTGTGGTCCGCAGCCTCTGCCTCCCCTCGGTGGCCCTAGGCTGACAGCACAAGGGTCTGCACCTGAGCCTTAGGGGGTGGAAGGGCTGAGCTTTCTGGGCCCCTGCGCAGGAAGCAGTGGAATGGGGGGTGGGGGTGGGGTAAGTGGGGGGCCGCGGGCTCTGGAGGGCCTCGTGACCGAGGGG